GTCCCTTAGACCTACAAACTAATTAACCAAGGTAAATATCTGCAGTACAGAGCTACAGATAAGCAGCGTATTTGCGTAAAATACCCCCCAAAAATATTCAAAACTCAATTACTTTCCATTTCCAACTTGTGTACAGAAACGCATGCATAAAATGAAAAATTCAAATGTATAAAAACAGCTCACGTAAATACCAAATGAAGCTTTTTCAGCATGCGTACAAAGGACCTAATTTCCGAAACACAATTACGAGCTAATTTACTTTCCGAGTCAAGCCTATGTATTTAGAACATTATTTCATTTTTTTTAAATCTTAAAATGTTCACTAATTTTGGGAAAAAAAACACTTAGTGATGAATAGATGAGTGAAAAAATATTGGTTACCCATTGAAAAATGTAATCATGGTAATAACCCAATTAAAACAGAAACCTTCGAGTAAAACCTCAATTGCTCAAAAAGCTATCTGGAGCTCTGGTAGTACCTTATCAAGGATTGTTCTTACATCTGTACTCAAAAGAATATTTTGATCCATCATCAAATCAAATTGGTGCATCTCATTTAACTAGCGTTATATAAAGTAAATAGTTGTTACATAGAAACTTTGCCCCTAACTTTACACTGAGATCCATAACACCGTCTTCAATCTTTCAATCCTTAGGATTACTCTGTAACTCAAACTGTGACTTAACATGGCCATGTGCTCATTTACCATGTATTCCTCCTGCTTACTAATGTGTAAGTACATGTATCACTGGCTTCATATGATAACAAAGCCAAATGGGATATACGTAGGACATTTTTGGAATTGGGGTATGGATTCCTTTGAAGAGGTCAATTACCAGTTTCTTGTACGCAGTCACAAAGGTAATACCCTAGGGATTTCAAAAAGGTAATTGTAGCTAGTACCATTTTTTCCCCATCATTTCTCTTGTCTGCCTTAGTCTGTCAGATAACTGCCCCGGGTCTGCTCTTTCCAGAGATACCATACCATTAGGGATCCTCCACATTTGTTTTGAAGTGTATGGGGTTACTGATAGACAGATAAAAATCACCTAAAATCTTGTATATTTTTCATAACTTCAAATGGTCATAAAGTCATTATTTGGGAAGTATTGATATATTTTAATAATACTGTCAAATGTACATTTCCAAGAGCTTTCCATATATCTATAACACATGGTATGGTTACCAAAAGAGGTCAGATGACCAGCCCCTAATGCATTATGGTCAGAAATTACTTTTGAACAAAGTTTGGAAATGCAGAGTATATAATGGTTTGAAAAAACAGGGTGCCTCAGTGTGCCCTTGACATGCTTGAGGCACATAGAATATATTTTAACTGGAACATTTTATTTTAACAGTGCCATGAGTTTCTAATACAATAAAAGTCTTTGACTTTAGCCACTAATCTGAAGACAGAGTCAAGAAAAGGTTCAAATAATCATAGCCCACATAACCCAAAAATGTCCTGAAAATGATGCTTGGAGCCGAGCCGACACTAAAATCTACTGAAAATGAAGCAAATATCTGAGCTGAGGCTAGAAGACCAAAAAAATATTTGTCAGACTGTGATAAATTTTTAACTATGGAAATGTTCTCAATTTGTACTAAAACAACTGAAAACAAGCTTGTCACCTGTCACTTGCCAACTTATACTTGATGTAGGACATACTACACAAGATGTGTCCCTTCCATTGTGAGTAAATGGTATCTAGCCCCCTGCATGGTGCACCATGGGTTCTAAGCTCTGCTTTCACCCTAGCCTTGCTCCAAGGCTGTACTGAAAGAAAACTCCATGGACTTGTAGTAACTGTGTCCTAATAGGCAAGTCTAGATATGTGGACAGACTCCAGTGTCTTATAGGACAACTTGTTCTTATTATTGACATAATCTAGAAATTAAGACTTAAACTAATAATTATTGTCTAAAGACTTGTGCAAGTCTATTCACCCAGCTGCTGCCCTGGATCCCTCTTGCAGGAGGATTTCACCACAGCGTCCCCCTCACGCATCCCCCTCACACGTCCCCCTCACGCGGAGTGGTCAATATCACAAAGTGTGTCAGGGTATTGATCTGTACAACTCGTTTGCGTTACAGTTCTCCCTGCATTAAAGTAGCGCTCACTAAAACAATGGATGATCGCTTATTGTCAATACTAAATAATATTACACATGTATTAGGTGCTCTGGTTGCCATAACAGGATTGTGGTACCTGTGGAGTTAACGGTTATCATTTTCATTTGCCTGTCAAAACAATAGAATAATCACACAGTGCCAGTTCCACCATCTGAAAACTGTACATGCTGAAAGAGCAATGAATCTTGCTGGAAGAATGGAGTGTATTCTACAAATGTGCTCCATATTATCCATGGTTAAAATTAAAGGGGCTCCTGATGACCTTGAGACTGAATCTAAGGACCTCCTAATTCTTAAATTTTAAACTCTTCACATGGACCCCTTGACACTCATACTTAATTTCAAACACTGGCTTTAATGATAATAAACACAAGCATGCATCTCCTTGTAAAAAAATATCCATCTGTTTTGTTTGTCTAATTGTTTACTGGTCAATATACTGATTAAAGGTGCAACTGAAATCATATTTTATTATTATTATTAATATGAATATGTCATTACCATGATTACCAGATATTTACTAATTTATCAATAATCACCAATAAAGTTTAAATAAGAACAGTCTTCAATGACATCCAGATAGTTTCCTCCAAGAACCAAAAACATGATTTCCTAATAATGCATGAATGTGGAAGACACAAAAGGGATGGGACACTTTATGTCAGAAATGGAATTTCCAAAATAAGCATGTAAAAAATGAAAATCGATCCAAAATGGTAGCTAAGATTTATTTTCCACAGCATGATAATTGTAAATTGTCATGTGAGTTCAGTATATGATCTAGTCAGTAATATCATGAACATTGATCAACACAATCAGGATACAGGACATGCATGGACCAAGTCACAGAGTCCAACCACCCGATACCGCCAGTTGCCTCTCACGACAAAAATGGTTGCTGTAGACCAATTCTAAGCTGTATAGTCACAGGCTCCATACTCTGTCTGTGATGTTATTGTTGCTTTATCAATATTCTTCATTCATTTGTTCAACTTCCATAATCATGGTGATGTTATAATCTTTGTGAGATACTGTACACAATGGGAATGTAACAGTTAAGTTATCAGGATCATAAAACAGAACCAACACTAACTTCAAATATGTTACTTAGCTAGGGTTCGAAATTCCCTGAATTACTGTGACAATAGCTCTTTTAAATACATAATGGTATGAATAAAAATTATCACAGTGCCTGAAGGGAATACTTAGATATATATTTTTTTTAACTTAATGGCCGTTTCTCATGAAGCCAGGGATAAACATACCTTCGGCTTCACACAAACAAACTTTACAAGTACATGGAAAATGAGTGAGTAAGGTTTTACGCCGCTTTTAGCAATATTCCAGCAATATCACGGCGGGGGACACCAGAAATGGGCTTCACACATTGTACCCATGTCGGGAATCGAACCTGGGTGTTCGGCGTGACGAGCGAACGCTTTAACCACTAGGCTACCCGACCGCCCCACATGGAAAACGAAGTCATGAACATAACCATACACAGAATGAAACTGGGGATTCAGATATTGAGAGGGGGATTATCAATCTCAAGGATACGGAAGGGGCAAACTTCCTTAATTACAAAGAATGAAACTGGGGATTCAGATATTGAGAGGGGGATTATCAATCTCAAGGATACGGAAGGGGCAAACTTCCTTAATTACAACTACAACTGCGCTCTGGAGAAATGAGATTCACCAATTTCGAAAATGGATCAAAACTATTCTTGTTTACACAGTAAGTTTCAAAGGCAACACCTGAACGCTTAAATGACACACTTTAACACAATTACCTTTCTGTCACTGTTATCTCCAAATATCACATATCAGAGAAGACAATGACATTGAATACAATAACAACTGTCACTGAAGTATTACACGGCAGAAGGTTAAAGTGGACTCTGGCAGTTTTCACTCACATGACAAAGACCTGTTTGTTTGCTGATCTGACAAAGACATATTACAACTACACAACATTTTTTTAAAAGATCTTATTGACGCCTAACAAGAAACATACACCTTTAATGTGCACACAACTGAACACCGTCCCAAGCTCCACTGCAGACAATTTGTATGACTGATACATGGCCACTCTATATGTAAGATTTGTATAGATGTACTCTTGAGTCTTAGAAGATATTTTTAGACAATGTTTTAATGAATGGGAAAGCCTTTGTGTATAATAGTGTTGTTCAATGCCCAGCAATGTCATATACTGGATAGTTTGTATGTTTTCAGCATCAAATACAAAGCAGAAAAACATAATCACAAAAACATATTATTCTCATCATGCATATTTAGTTCTTTCAGGAGAGTTGTATAAAATAATAAAATAATAATTGAAAAAAAACAACATTATTTCTGAAATATATGTATGTCAATATTAACATGGTCCACTTGTTTTGATCACTATAAGATATGAAATGAACCTACTAATATTAGAAACATTGTTATCATCTTTGTAAACATGGTGAATATTGTTGGACTGTCAAACATTGCATGACACTGCTCCAGTCCCGACCTAGCCGACACACCAGCATGAATGGAAGTGATTAGGCTAATGACAGTAATTAGCAATGAGTGTGGGTGCAGATAAGCTGGTGATGCTAGGTGTTATATTTTGACTACAGGTGTTGTGATTGTGTAATCATTTATAACCACACTGCTCTATTGATTAAGTGATTTGTTTGTTTTGATTGGGGAGCCTCAACCCTGATACAATGTTTTGATTGTTCTGCATGTTGTAACATCACGTTGCGCGCTATGTTTATAGTCGATTTAACACTAACAGGTCTGTTTTTACTGCTGTGGAGAATTTGACGCGTAAAAGAATGTTGATGTAGACTTTTTTGGCCCTGCGTACTTACCCCGGTCCTGTGGGTTCCCGTCAGAAACCTCAGTAATCCACAAAGTTAATAATATCGATATCCAGTATTTTGGGGGCAGCATATTTGCCCAGCGTTAGGTTTTACAACTTTGTGTATATCCAAGATGATGTATTGAGGGCTTCATGGGTCCACCTAAAGCTTCACACCCGACGACCTGGGAACAGAGAGGGGAGAAAATGGCGACCTCACTCGTGTAAACAATCTCATCTCTCTCAAACAATTTTTACATTAGTAAAACGCATCGAGCATAGTTTCGTGTCTAGCACTGGGCATTAATAGTGCCCATGCCCCCAGCAAGAGTTTTGACTGTCTACATATGAAAGACGTCCAAATGCAAGACAGAACCACACCAAAACATCATCAAGTTCTCGTTCTCCCGGGTCACGGTAACAAAGATGGCGCGGACCGGCCGCAGATCATGCGGGTAAACCTTTTCGTCCGCTGCGTGCTACAGGAAGCAAGCTAGCATAACAGTACTGGCTACCCCCTCCCATGTAACCAACAACCGTCCACCCACCCCACTTACATGTTCATGAAGTACGTTATCAAAACATGCTTAGACGCAGATGAAACAAATGGTACCAACTCATTTGGCAGTAACCTGGCCTAGGTAGTCCACAAGATTGAAATGCCGAAAAAACGGTAAAGTACTCACCACGTGTAGACTCAATTCCTAACGTGCAAGCTGTGAGATGGCGAGTAAAATCCACTACAACAACAGTTGAATCCAAAACAAAACAGTTAATCAGCGAGCTGTCAGCGGAAGCTCTACACATATAGCGATACGCTGTGCGGCGCTGTGTTGTCATTTTCATCGAGGTTAATTAACCCCATTCCATAAAAGGAATTCTGACGTCATGACCTCATATCGCAGCGCCATCTATTGAGCGGAATTGGGACAAGCACTTGCTGTGTGACTCAGCTCGGAGTTTCCAGGTCGATAGAAAATACTATAATGTTGATTTGTTCACTTAACACTGTGTTAACGTTCACCCTCACAAGAGTGAGTCTACGTGAGCGAGAATGTTTTATTAATTTAAACAGATTAATTAAATTGATTCGAACCAAACACTCGATAGAACGACAACAACAAAGCAAAGACGCCGCATGGAATTTCACAAACAACATTTGTTTTGTTGCAGGATTACCAGCCATGGAAAGTTTACCTTTTGTTTTTTTGTAAAATCAATTATTTTCACGGTATTATTTTTCGAGAATGGTATTCTTATTGGAAATGTGGCGGGGTTGTGTTTTTTCAAATTTATGGCACACAAGTATTTTTAGGACGTTTCTTTTAGAAAACGTTTTTGTTTGTTTTTTGGTTTGTTAATTATTCGTTACTTTATGTTACATATGTAATGCAGTTTATCTGAACTTTTATTTGATGTTTTATTTCCAAATAATGTACCTTTGTACACTGTTTCAATAAAGCATATGCGCAATACGCAAGGAATTCCCCCGAGACAATTATCAATATCCTTTTTATGCAGATTTTGTGTCATGATGACGTGTATCTTCTAGTAGACACGCCACACCTATATATACTTCTCAAAAGAAGTTAAAGAACACTGGATTTTTGTCTAACGACCATAGTTATGAAAAATGGCAGATTAAGTAGTCCTATGAAACAAATGGCGTGTAAACATCTTTTGAGTACATACATTCAAGGACGAGTAAACTAATCAATTTCAGACTTTGAATATTGACACAATGAGAGAGTTGAGTAGCTTTTGTGTTATTTTATTTATTGATCAACCGACCAAAGTTAATACATATCCATTTCTTTCCGTCGAGTCTTTCTTCGATATTGCAAAAATGTGTTGTCAATATTGCTAAGGTGTAATAAAAAAAATCTCTTTTCTTTTACTTCTTTCTTTACATAACTCCACCCACAATTGTATACACGGCTTTCAGAGATCAGTTGAAGGTAATTTTAAATTCATATTTTGAAAGATAAGATAAGATAAGATAAGATAAGATAAGGTAATCCTGGAGGAAATTTGGGTTACATCAGAACAAGATTTCAGCGTATTGATAAACACATACAAATAAGAGCACCATAAACGTAATTAACATTAAATGTGGCACTATCGAAAGAATGGCCAATAATTATGTATCACAACACTCATAATAAAACCTGGTATTAGCTGGTATGAATGGATTCCAGGCCCTGTTTGTTCTCAACGTCGGCAATCGTTGTCGGCGACCAGAAGGAAGAAGTTGATACTCCGAATGTAAAACATGAGAGATATCGCTTAATATTATAAGGGCATACCATTTTTCTTCCTGAAACAGTTTTATGGAAGAAAAACGCAACATTTGTCAGAACATCCATCATGACCAGTGAACGACTTAATTATTTTTTGTGTAAAAACTGAGAACACGATCATTGTCTTTCAGCATTATTTTCATATAAATAATCCACAGTCTGTTTTTTAACCAACAAATGAACTAGCTACAAAACACCCAGGTTTCGCTATGGTCCTACACGTTACAGATTTCTCTTAGCTGCTGTTTCCCTTCTGTTTTTTTTGTTGTAAATTATTCTTTTTACCGTTTTACTGACACGTTGATTGATTCTTTGTTGCTTAACGCCGCACTCAGCAATATTCCAGCTATATGGCAGCGGTCTGTAAATAATCGAGTCTGGACTAGTCAATCCAGTGATTGACATCATGAGCATCGATCCACGCAGTTGGGATACGATGACATGCATCAACCAAGTCAGCGAGCCTGACTACCCGATCCCGTTAGTCAGCTCTTGCGACAAGCATAGTCGCCTTTTACGGCAAGCATTAGACTAACATCTAGTCTCTGAAATGAACATATCGTACAGAGAAAAACAGTTGTTCAATTATCTTAATAAAGATATAATAAAAGGGAGCCCTGAGACTATCTTCATTTTCAGATACTGCAGTAATCTAGACTTGCCAAACATTATAGACTTGCATGGGCTGTATTTGATATATATTTGTATCAGGGTCTGTAAGACAGACTAGGCAAGCATGGGTTGCTGAAGACCTATTCTTCCCCGGATGTTCACGGGTCTTACTGACGTCACTGTCTTGCAATACGTCATAGCAATGTGATTCCTGGAACTGGTGTCTGAAGCTTGTCTCCCACATTTTGATACAAACAAATATACCCTTAAAAAACCCTCCACTAAAATAACACACAAAAACGAAATGTAAATAAATAACTACATACAATTAATGAATAAATACCACACACACCCTCGTGTCACTGGAATACACATTTAACTACATACCTGCCTGTTTGTCAAGTGGATGTTTAGGACAATCAAAGTATTTCATTTATAAGTAATATTATCCCCCAGCGTGACACTCAGGTGCAACTGTACTCGTCGTTATGTTGGTACGTCCACTAGGGCCTCTCCAAGCCTCGGGGTCAAAGTAACAACTTCATACGATTATGTACACCCAAGACCCTTGTGGTCTGACCTATTTCAACCATCGCTGATTCAAAGAATCTAAGCACCTTAGGTGTTTAAAGTAAATTGTTTTGATGACTGTATTCGTAATGGAGAAAAACAGATGTTCCATAATTTGCTGCTTGACCGTGAGTCTCTCCTGTGTGGTGGACGTGAATCATGTTCTTTGAGCCTTTCGCACCTGCACCTGTGCCCAGTTGGGTTATGAAATGTATGTCCCTGGGCAAGAATACAATTCCTATTCAACCAACTCGAGCACATTTATCACTTGCCCATATCGATGGGTTTTTATTATAATAAATAGCTTTCTTTAAACGGAAAGCTACCAAATCACGCGTTAGGTAAATGTATAGAATACCATATAGAATAAAACACATATATCCTCATTAATAAACGGATACTTATTAGTACTGATGTCAATAAAGATTTATTTGTTGATTACGCCGAATGTCTTCCATGGCGTGACAGAAGGCATTCGTTTTTCTGCGTTGTGGACTTTGCGGGTTGAAATCACACTGGCAACGCACGTTTTTTATCAAGTTACACCGCAGTCAAGTTAAACCATGGTTCTTTTGTCTGAAATCTAAGATTAACTGATTGAATTATAAATTAAACACCACTTGGCAGCGATAGAATATTTTTTTTCTATTATCTACTGTGTGACAAACGCTTGTCGCCATGCAGGTGGATTGGAAACAGTGAAGTCTGCCCTGAAGGCGACTGGTCTCACCTAAAGGCAGACAACATCTTGTCTCTGAAATAAACATATCTTTAAAAAATCACAAAAAAAGAGTCATTAAATTATAGCTATAAATTATAATTAAAAGGAGCCAATAGATTTTCTTATTTTCAGAGTAAACTGGACTTGCCAAATATTATAGACTTTCATGGGCTTTATTGGGTATATCTATTTCAGGGGTCTTCGCCTCGGGGTCTAACTACCCATTTCAATAATTACACACAGAGCCTTGGTGGACGAACCTTTCTCATTACTCGTTAAGGACTCCAGCTATGTGACTGGACAGTTGTCATGTATAAAACCATGCATGCCGGCTGGCCAAGTGTTTCATACGGCGTCACTTGTTTGTCACGTTACAATTGACCCTGTTCGCTCTTCCAGTTGGAAACGCTAATAAACAATGGACTGAGTGTTCTATACTGAGTCCGATGGCTGACTCAAGACAGACATCGGTCTCGTGGTGTACGTGCCTGCACAACTCGTAACATGCCGTACACCTGGGCACTGACAATGGTTATTAGGGACACGGGTGGCCCAGTTGTCTAATTCGCTGTGCAGAGTTGCGTCCCTTTGGTACGTCAGAAATCTGTGACCGTCGGTTGGAATCCCGGTTCGCCCCGGTTTGTCAGCACCATATCCGTGCTCTAGCGATCCACCAAAGTTGTAAATGTCTTAGACCTGCTTTATTTCGGGCATTTCTCCCATATCAAGCTGACACGCCGTGATATAACTGGAATACTGACTCACTCACTCATAATGTTGCGGACCCGTGAAGATCCGGGGTGCATCAACCAAGTCAGAGAGCCTGACCACCCGATCCCATTAGTCGCCTCTTACGACAAATATAGTCGCCTCATATATACGGAAGGCATGGGTTGCTGAAGACATATTCTAACCCGGATCTTCACGGGTCGCATGTCATCTTATCCCCATTGCGTGGATCAATGCTCATGATGTCAATCACTGGATTGTCTGGCACAAACTCGATTATTTAAAGTCCGCCGTCTTATAGCTGGAATATTGCTGAGTGTGGCGTTAAACAACAAACAATAAACAAACAAAGAAACAAAACAAACATGATGTTGCGTAACTTCATTTCACGTCAAAATTGATCCTGTTTGTGCTTTGAGTTACCATCACTGAAAATAAATCTTGTATCTTATGAACATGTTAAATGGTTACATGCGTCGCAAGTGGGGTTAACGGGATGTTCGTGTACACACCTAGATCTTCGTGCTCGTGGCTAACATGCCAAATCAACTCGTAAAATCCTTGCCGCCTCGCTCGTGACACATGTAACTAATAATATTTCAGTCATAGCCAAGAAGTCCATTCATTCATCAGTTGTTTTCCGCTCACTATTTCGTTAACGCCCCGGGAAATACAAATAAGCACAGATTAATAACTTACCATAAAACCAAAGTGCTTTTAACAACTGTCAAATACGTTCACATTTAAACCCGTGCAAAACAGTAATTCCGCCATGAATTACCATATTTTTGTATTTGTGTGATTATCTAGAATATTACAGACCCATCCTGGAGTGAGTGAGTGAGTTGGGTTTAACGCCGCTTTTAACATTATTCCAGTTATATCACGGCGTGTCAGCTGAATGTGGGAGGAAAGCCCG